AATGAGAGAGGTATGCGTACGGCGTGGAGAAGGCTGTGTTGGGGATGGTTATCGCTGTCTGGAGGGGTAAAACGAAGGGCGAGACTCCCCACGGCGGCGGCGGCTCCCACCATCCCGCCTGCCGACTCATCCTTTCCCCCTCCCCCTCCCCCCGCCCTAGGGCGTGACGGAGGACCCGCAGGCTGCAGCCCCTAGGCTCCTACCTGCTGATGGTGCAGCGGCACCACCATCACCACCAACAATGCCGCTACTGCCACTGCTACTGCTACTGTCGCTACCCCCTGCCGCTGCCGTACCTCCTCCACCCGCCGCCTCCTGGCGCCGCAGCGACAGCCCCAACGGCATCCCCCGTGATGCCATCAGACGCGACATGGGGTCCTCTAGCACCTGGGCGGTACACGGCGGTACACGGCGGTACACTCGGGACGTGAGATGGGCCATTGGGGGGCGGGGGACGACGAGGGGGAAGACGAGTGACGCCACGGGCGAGTGACGAGTGACGAGTGTGTGTGGGGGGGGGGAAGAAGGGGAGTGAGGAATATCCGCATCTTCAAGATAATGCACAAGGTGGTCATGTATGAGGGGAGGGGGAGGGGAGCGGAGGGGGGAAGGGGGGGGGAAAGACGAACCACGAACGAGTGAAGCTGCTGCCAAGGAGGGAAGGGGGGGATGGTGGAGATGCGAGGAGGGGATGGGGAAAACGGCCCAGTAGAATTGTGTGCGTGTGTGTATTGGGGTGGGGTGTTGGGATGGGGTGGGGGTTTGTCGGGTTCTTTAGACGTGTTGGACCGGTGTGTACGACAAGTGTATGTGTACGACAAGTGTATCTTTGATGCGGGATTAGGGAGAATTCCGAATCTGACCTTTTCCGGGTTCCGTGTTTATTCTCTCCGCCGTACAGGCGCTCGTTGTGGAAGACGCAAGTATAACTATATAATTTTCCTGTTTCCTAAAAATGGATTCTGTTGGCAGGAGCTTCAAATTCAAAAACCTGAACAACAACAGCAGCAGCGAGGTCTACCCAACCCTGGACACCGTCCACCAACTCGCAAGCGCCCGCCCACTACAACCAAGAGATATATCGCACCATACGCGCAGCGTCTTCCGCCGCAACCGCCTCAGCCAACGGTTCTTGTAAGCCGTCGCTAGCACTGCGATTGCACAGGGAGTCCGCTGCGGAGGCGGCAAAGCTGCGGACGGTGGAGCAGCCTGGGGGGAGTCTCGCCCAGGGTAGCGGCGTCGCTCCGGGTGCGGCCATTGTCATCGCCACCATCGAAGTCGTTCGGGAACGGGAACGGTCGGTCCAGGTGGATAACACCGCGCCATAAACGTACGTTTCCTGTTGTGTTGACGACGGGCTGCTGGAACAATGCTGAGAGGTTATCTGAGGATGGCCGTGAGATTGGATCGGTCTGATGGGACGTGGTTGACGCGATGATGGCCGTGCTGTGCGGCTGCTGGTGGACTCCGCGACGGGTACAACACCATCGTCTAATATTTCCGTTGTGACGCGATAAGCCTACAATAGGGCAATAGCAGGAAACGGTCGTCCACTAGGTTATAGTTAAACCGGCAGATGACGTTAGGGCGATGTCTTTTATGAAGCAAGTGCAACAGCTGCAGGAATTGCCATAGAAAGCGACCATCATTGCGACCGCCAATGCTTGAGGACGGCGGCCCTTACCTCCGACAGCAGGGTCGACACCGGCGGTGATCGGGAACGGCATGGGCCGATCAGCTCTGCTGCTCTCCGCATTTTGGAATAATTTATTCGACAATCAGCCCTAGCAACTTTATATAGGCAGCTAAAGAAAACGACGTCTCTAGATCGAAAATGTCAACTCAATTTGGCTTTCACACGTGGCCATAATGAAAAACTTACAAACAGGATTCTGCTGAGCTTCAAGCGAATTCTCTGTTTCTCTGCTTGTACGAGCTGGAAGCGTTTTGCCGAGTGGACGTACCTTTTCCGTACACCCTTTGCGCCGCGTCTGCAGAAGAAGAACTGGGTTGCACCCAATGCTTATGGTTGTGCGATCTGTTAGTTCATCTCTGTTTAATCTTGGGATCCTGCTCCCAAGTGTGCTGCTGGAGATACAGTGCTCCTGAAGGAGGTGCGTCCTGTATATTGTGACCTCGCACGCTACCCGCTTCAACCTCGGAAGTCTTTTTGAGTTTGGTGCTTTCCATCAGCACTTCTGAGCAGCCAGTTGCATAAGCATCTGTCTACAGCGTATGAGCGCCGGCCTCGTCCAAGCAGCCAACGCCTACATGGACTCAGCGCGGTCCAAGCGCGATATGAATAGCTGGACCTCAAGTTTTCTGTATTGCTCTCAACCCTACAAAGCTATGGAGGCAGCCTGTTTTGCTTTTTTGATGTCCCACGCAGCACACGATCGTGTTGGCGTTCGTGTTATTGCTGCCTGGACAAGCGATAATTGAAATGGGCTCCATTCCAATTGCTATATCCTGAGGTTTTCCACATTCTCTTGCTACCCTTGCTCCTTGCTCATGGACAATGCTTGCAGGTTCCTGCCAGGATGCAGACCATGCTTAAGCAGCGCAGCGGCCTCCGCGCCGCCCAGCCAGGCCGGCGTGTGGTGAAGGTAAGCGCCGTTGCATGCTCGTAACGCCAACGCCTAAGTATTCAACACCCAGCTGACCAGGGTGCGAGCGCCCCAGCTCCCCACCATGACCACAATGTAGGCGTTACGAAGCGCTAGTGGTCCGGTATGCGCTTCTTTGCGTTTCCTTTGCAACTCTATTAATTCCAAGTCAGTCCTATCCTATATTTGTAACGCTTCATACGAAATCCTTACTCGATTTCTCAGCTCTTTCTCAACGGTGGTTCATGTACCCGAACGAATGCCATCTCTTCGTGGCTTATGGCAATTTTCATGTTCGAGCGATTATCCGCAGCCTTACAGCCGCAGTTGCTATAATAAAACATACGTACACACGTTTATATTACGCGCACCTTAGGGCTCATCACACACGCACACAGCGTTCGTTACGCGACAGACACACATTGGCTTTCCTTCCAACATTCTGCCTATCAACCTGCTGCTTTGCCTGTTGGTCAATTCGTTGGTTGGTATTGGTTGGCCCACAACAACGACTCGGTTTAACGGTCTGGATACTCTTATTTGTTTTGCTTTTCTTAGGCCCTGTCGTCCAGGTCGCGCACCCGCCCTCTCGCACACCACTCGCCCCACTTCCTGCCCGCCAACCCCACACCTCCACCCAGAGGTTCAAGTGCCCTTCATTATCCACCCCTAGGTGCCCCAGGTGCCACCACCACATACACAATAAATTGCCTGCGCATTTTTTCCTCCTCCATGTGCTCCTGCTACCTTTTGCTGCCCCTGGTACGGCAGGTTCGTGCCGTGGCCGCGCCCCTGAAGACCTCCACCTCCGCGCCCTCGTCCTCCAAAGCGCTGGTAACCCCCGAGGTGAGAGGGCTTGGGAGAGGGGGAAAGGGGAATGAGGGGGCAGGACGGGAAATGAGAGCACGGATAGTAGGAACCTGTTTTCGCAATGTATGTATGTATGTATGTAGGAATGTATGTATGTAGGAATGTAGGAAGGAAGCGGGTTTGGACGCTCGCTTGTAATGTATATATATTTTTGTTGCTTGACTCTCAGGCAGGAAAAAGAAAGACGCAGAGCTGCGGTGTTGGCGACGTTAGTCCGTTAGGACGCCAACCACTTTCCTACGCTTTGTGTGTGTGTGTTCGTGTTTGTGTTTGTGTTCCTTGGCACGTTCGCGTCGGTTGGTCGGATTGGGTTCACAACACCACCACAAAACTACTTCCCGAAAGGTAACCCCCCCCTCCCCCCTCTTCACTCGTTCGTGGTTCGTCTTTCCCTCCCCCCTCTTTTCCCCCCCCC